TGGAAGCAGAGAGAGTGAGAGTGTGTCCCGCCTCCAGGGAGAAAGAGAGGAAGTTCCCAGAATCCTCATGAGAAGGCCACACCCACAAGAAGGCATCATCAGGCTGTGTCCTGATTGACAGGCTAGACACCACCCTTCACTCTTAATAGCCTCAAATTGACACAGATTATGTAACTACCACAGATGTGAAACAGAAAGCTCATGTTTAATTGAGTGTTATTAGGCAATCATTTTATGGAAATATAAATAGAAAAAATACTCAAGAAAACTTTATAGAAATGCTTTGTTAATGTCATTATATTAGAAAGCATTCCTTTTAGCTTTATATTAATGGATATGTATTTTTAATGTAATTAAAAGCATTCAGTTATGAGTCTTATCAGTAAGACTGTTTCCTTGAAATAAAAGTACGACAATGAACACAAACAAGAAAGTAACATCAAAGCATCTCAAAGAAAAATTATCATCTTAGAGGAAAGGATTACCTACTAACATGTTTGGAAAATATTTTATAGCAACCTTAAAATATTAGTTTTGCAACATTATGACACTAAAAGGTAAAATTGAAACAAAGTCTTTATCAACTGGGAAATGATAATAGCTAGCTATGAAAAATGTAATGTAGTAGGGGGGAAGGTGGGAAGAGTAGGGGAGGAAGGGGGAACCGATTGCAATGATCGACACATAAGCACACACTCCCCTTCCAGGGGGATGAACAACAGAAATCATGGGGGAAGGGAGACAGTGGTTAATGTAATGTATGAAAATAATAAGGGTTTATAATTTATCAAGGGGTCATGAGGGTGAGGGGAGGGGAACAAGAGCTGATACCCAGGGCTCAATAGAAAGTACATGTCTAAAAAATAATGATGGCAACATAAGTACAAATTGCTTGATACAATTGATGTATGGATTGTTCTAAGGGCTGTAAGGGACCCCAATAAAATGATCTTCTAATTAAAAAAGAAAGTAATGTATCTGCAGTAGATTCCTTAAGAAGCATTTAGGAAGACAACTTTGCAGACTCACATGCTTACGGGGCCTGGTAAGTTATGAAACTGAAGAGTGCTGTGTACCGAAGAGGATGATAGACCTTAAACTTCTTTCAGATTGCAGCAGATTTGGTGAGCAGTGTGATGGTTGTTTGAGGAGCTCTCTGTCCAGGTATAAAGAGGAAAGGATTATGTAATTGAACTCTTGTCTCCTTCACGCCACATAATGAAGTCTTGAAATTGGACCATCTTTTACACTAACTTTTATTTTACAAGATCTTGGCTCTATCTATCATTGTGGGTCCCTAGTACCTCCTGAAAATAAATGTGGGTTACCTGAGTTGTCCATCAGATGTATACAGCTATGAATTTCTTATATGGTACTAGAAATGTATGCTAAACAGACTGCTGCTTATACAGAGTTCTTTCTGTGGATTATGCAGAATTTAAGATGCCATAGAGTCTGAATGCCAAAGGTACCAAGAAGAGAATATTATAGCCACCTGTGAGAGGAAGAATATTGGCTTCCCAAGATGGCCATATCCTAATTCCCAGAACTTGTGCATGTTACTGTGTACGGCAAAAGGGTCTTTAGATAGGGATTATCCTGGATTATCCTGGATTACCTGGGAAGACATAACATAATCACAACTTTCACCAAGTTACTTCCTACTACAGGATACAACTGTTCCTCGGAATTTCCAATATTGTAACTATGGGAGTAGAAAGCCATTTTTCAAAACCCAGAAAAGGCTGGGGTTCCAAACTGCTGACCTGGTGGCTCACAGCCCAATGGGTAACCACTGTGCCACCAGGGCTCCTTGAAGCAATCATAGGGACCTTATCAGAAGGAGACAGGATATCAGAGAGCAAGTTGGGGATCTGATAAGCAAAACAGAGAGGTATTTGAAGATGTGAAATTGCTGGTTTTGAAGATGGATAAAGGGACCTTGAGCCAAGGAAGGCAAAAAATGCAACGGAAGAAACTGGAAAAAGAAAGGAAGCATGTTCTCCAGAGCCAAAAGAGAGAGAGAGACAGACAGACAGAGAGAGAGAGAGAGAGAATGGCCCTGCTGACGCCCAGCGAGACCCACTTCAGATTTTCATCCGGTAGGACTGTAAGATAATGACTTTTGTTGTTCGAAGTCACTAAATTTGTGGTAATTTGTTACAGCAACAATAGAAAACCAGTAATTGCTCTTTGTAGCACATTTGTTACTGCTTATTGAGGGGAGGGGAGTGGCAATGCTGGACCCGAAAGGCTTTAAAACATGACAGTTTACAAGGCTGTACTCATTCTGTTTTGAAGACACTGATACATGTATTCTGAGCATGCTCCTTGTTCTATTCCCTATGCGAGCATAGAGCGTAAACTCCATCTCTTCCTTCCCCCACCTTTTTTTTTTAAGTGAAGGCTAGACTTGGATCCAAATGAGACTACACAGCTGATCTTGGCCAGTATATATTCCAGGAATTTGTTCCATTTGGGGAGCACTTTGTATCTCTCTTAGTTACGAGTTTACCTAATAAGAGACTAAAGTGCTTTTAGAAATATTTCAGAGCAGGCTCTGGGAGTGAGCTCCAGACCGGAACTCTAGACAGAATCCTTCAGGTAACCCAGTGGCTCTTCCTACTGGTGTCAGTTTGGGAGAGAAAGTTTGGAGCTCACTTAGTTTTTCCAGGGTTCATCTGAATTAGAGGGAGAAAAAAAATCCTATGCAAAGCCAGTTCGATACATATCCCAGGGTGAATCTAAAAGTGAATCTGTTTGGGAACCAAGAATGCTAGAGAAAATGCTATTTGCCTTGATAACGTTATGTCAGAATAGTATACTGCTGAAAGAAAACTGCCTTCTTGACAATTATAAAGAAAATCTTATATGTAAATTTCACTGCTCCAACCATTGCCATATAATACAGCATGCCTCTGCATTAATACAATATTCAAACAAGATTATAATTACAATTCAACAAAATAGATCACTGAACATAATTTTAATGAAAATGGATTTTAATTCATTGGGCAATAGTTGTGATATTGTAATTAATGCTGTAAAAAAAAAAGCAATAGCAGCTTCCCCTCCTTCCTGAGTCTCAGTGTAACTCATGTTTTTATCCTCACTTCGTTTGGTGGATCAATGATTGTTTACATGTCAAAGAAAATGGAAAAATAGGGTGGGAGTGCAGGAAGATGGGAAAAGATATTACAGTATTGATATATTAAAAAAGAAAAGGCAATCTACCCACCCCTCCAACCAAAAAAACCCCAAACTCACAGCTATCAAGTCAATTCCAACTCACAGTGACCCTATAGGACATGGTAGAATTGCCCTGTGGGTTTTTGAGATTGTAAATCTTTTCAGGAGTTGAAAGCCTCATCTTTCTCCTGCAAAGTGGCTGATGGTTTCAAACTGCTGACCTTGTAGTTAGCAGAGCAACGTGTAACCACCACGTCTATGCCACTAGGGTTCCTCCCTACTACCTACAGTTGTCCCATTTTGTCCAATGTAGGGTATATAAATTATAATCTTGACAACTGAATTTTATTAAACATGTTTCAAAAATAAACTCTGTTCTCTCTTACTACACCAGTTGCCTTGGAGTCTGACTCGTCGTGATTCCATGTCTTCAGGCTAGAATAGCGCTCCATAAGGTTTTCAGTGGCTGTTTTTTGTGGGGAATAATAATGTCAGGACATTCTTTCAAAGATCTTCAAAGACTCAAACTTCTAACCTTTTCCGTGAGCAGACCAACATGCTTGAACTGCTGGCACCACACAGGACTATTACACTTAATTGAAACATCTTTATGAAGGTTTTAAAGAAGTGAAACCACGTAATGACCATTTTCATATTTGAAATGTGCATAGCTGAGTTTCTTCAAATAGATAAAATTCCCTTCCCATGGTGCAGTGGCTAAACATCTGGCTGCAAACCTGTGTTCCTGAAAAGAATGACAGCCTTGGAAGTCTCTGGGGCAGTCCTACTCTGTCATAAAGGGTGGCTTTGAGTTGGAATGATATGACGGCCGTGGGGGGAAAAAGGACTTAGAGCTCTACTATTGTATTGCTATCTTTTCACACCTCTCATATTGTCTGATGTTGCCATTTTGTGCTCCTTCATATTGGGCACTTGTTAAGAAGATAAATGAATCAATGTGTGTATTTGGTGGGTTGGAGGATCCAGTCACGTAGGGGCTTTTTGGAAGAAACTCCTGGAGACCTGCTTCCAAAAAACCGGGTACTGAACACCCTAAGTAGCACAGTTCTAGTCTTCCGTCCACGAGGTCAGCTCTACAGCAACTGGTAGTGGTGGTGGATTTAGTAATAACGCTGATAAACGTTGGTGGTTAATGTTTTCTTAAATTAGTTATTGTCGTTTTGTTAGGTGCCCTCCAGTCAGTTCTAACTAGAAACGCTGCCGGATCCTGCGCCATCCTCACAATTGTTCTTCACTGTGTCCATCCAAAAAACAACCGAATCCAAGTAATGGCAGGGAATTAACCCACACGGAAAGAGCGGAGACAGATCTAAAAACAACCCTAAAATAGTAATCTCTTTACATTCGCATCATTCTCTCGGTGTGGCGGAGGGACATGAATACAGTTCGACATCACGCACGCCGTTTTACCTGAACGCTAGACGGATCCCTCCTAACTAGGATAATAAAAAGGCAAGTTTTAATGGCTACACGAACTCACCCACACCCCTAACAACCTGTGAGCGTGGGGAGCGAAACCGAGCTCCGAGGTGGTCGATTGGCGCTCGACCTTTGCGTGCTCGTACCCGCGTCGTTGACGCTCCGGGCGCGCCGCCGCCGCCGCGGCTCTCGTCGCCATAGCGACGGCCCCTGGCAACCGCGAAGCGCTGCGGGATCTGCGGGCCGAGTGCAGGGTTTGCCCAGACGTCGGATCTTCCCTTCCTTTCCTCGCGATTGTTTCCCCTCCTTCTCTCTTTCCTGCTCTCCCGCTTCCTCCCCAACAGCAGCCCTCCCGCCCCCGCCCCTAAATCATGGCGGGCCGCCTCGCGGACGTCCGAAAGCTTTTCATCTTCGCGACCACCGAGAACTACTTCGGCCTGACGTCGGACCCCGGGGAGCAGCCGCTGCTGAACAACTCCCCCGAAATCAACAACTTCTTGGACGACGGGAACCAGATGCTCCTCAGGGTGCTGCGATCTGAAGCCGGGATCTTCTTTTCCAACACGGTACGGTTCCCTGCGCCCCGGTCCGGACTCACTTTCGCGCCCCCAGGCCCCGTTTAGGGACGTCGGCCCCGTAGCTTTACGGGAGCACCGCGCCCTTCACCTTCTCACCGCCGTCGAGTGAGCGTTTCGGGCAGGATAGAGCCGCCCTGTGGGTTTCGGAGACTAACTCTTTACAAGAGCGGAGACTCCTCTTTCTGATTGCGAACTGCTGACCTTCTAAGCAGCCCAACGCGTAATCCATTGGCGCCCACTGAAAATACTTTGTACTTAAGCTTGCAGCGCATTTGGCTGAAGGAAATTCCCCGTCCACAGCCACGAACAAGAACAACTGTATGCATACTTTCCAAGTTTTAAAAATAAATGCATGTGAGTTATGAGGAAAATAAATAGGTACCTCCTTTAGTTCTTTTTCTATTTTTCATTCCCGTTTTTGAAGTTGTTTGTGGCACATTCTAGGGATTGTTTTGGGGTTGTACACTGATTTTAATGTTGCTCAGGGAGGGGGTGGTTGGGAATTCAAGTCTTTTACACAATGATATATTACATTCTACAATAAAGTTTAATTATTTGTTGGCTAACATATACTATATTAATTAGGCTATTTATCGGTTAACTTCACTAGCAAGATTGCTTAAAATGGTTTCATTGCTTATAACCATCTCTCTCATATATATATCAAGGTAATCATAGAGAAAAATTGCTTGGCACATTAGTGAGCTCCATTAAACAGATGAAAGTTAACAAATTACAAACATTTTCAAACATTCTAGTTTTGTTCCAGCCACATCCCTAGGCCTATAGACTAGGTGCTACACAGCAAGCATTCAGTGCAGTTTTGTAGATCCACCGAATCATTCATCTCATTTACTGTCTATCATTCGTGGATCTCATTCAGTTCTATTCAACCAATATCTATTTTGAACTCAATATGTGCAAGACACATTGGCAAGGTTGTTAGGTTTGCAAAGCTATATGGATGATTGTAGAGAATGTTTATTTTCTCTGCCAGACACTGTTCCAATTGTTTAATATTCATAGCAACAGTATAAGATACGAAGTGTTCTATTACCATCTTATGGCTCAGGAAAGGAGCCCTGGTGGTGTAGTGGTTGGGTTGCTAACCTCAAGGTCCGCAGTTCAAAACCACCTCAGGAGAAAGACAAGGCTTTCTACTCCCACAAAGAGTTACAGTCTCAGAGCCCCACAGGGGCAGTTCTTGTGAGTTGAATTGACTCGCGTGCAGTGAGGGGTTTTTTGAGTATGGCTTAAGAAAGTGTTCACTCTTCTGCTTCTCTAACAGACTGGCCAGCTCAGAGTAGGTCCCTGCCTCTATTTCCTAGTGCCTCACATCAATGACTTAACAAACTGTAAAATCAGGGTACATTGTTAGCAGTACTTTTGAAAATTCAAATAGAATACAATAAGAAAACTAGGTAAGGATAGATTTGAATTTGTGAAAGTGTAGTTTAGAAGGCACAAAGTAAAAAATATAAATAAGGGTAAAAGCAATTACTAATGGAGTACAACGATCTAATTGTTATTGTAAATTATTTATATTTAAAGATGTTAGGTCTTAATTTGTGGTTCAGATGTTCAGAGCTACTGTGATTTAATAAGATACTGTTGTGAACTGATTCCAACTCATGCTGACCATATAGGACAGGGTAGAACTTCCCCTGTGGGTTTCAGACTGAATCTTTCCAGGAGTAGAAAGCCTCCTCTTTCTCCCATAGAACAGTTGATGATTTCGAACTGCTGACCTTTCGGATTGCCGCCCAACTTGTAACCACTATACCACCAAGGTTCCTCTTAATGAAGCAGGAAATCAAAGATGGCTACCAAGTACCTACTTTGTTCCTGGCATTGTTGACACTAGGACTAAGACCCATCCCAAACCCAAACCCATTGCCATTGAGTCTGTTCTGACTCAGAGCGGTCCTACAGGATAGAGTACAACTGCTCCCTGTGAGTTTGCGAGGCTGTAAGTCTTTTATGGGAGCAGAGTCTCCTCTTTGGAACTGCTGACCTTGTGGTGAGCAACCTTACTCATAATCACCACGGTCGCCTAGGAATAAAGATTTGTTCATGCCTTTAAGCAGTAACAGTTGAGTAGAAAAAGATCGGCAAAATCATTGTAAGAAATAGAAGTATATAAAATAGTGATACTGCTGATAAGATAAAATTAGAGTTTATTATAGTATATGCATATAGTACATAGTATAGTAGTTGGGAACTGCTCTAAACTTGTGTGGGAGGGCAGGCCTCAGTGGAATTCATGAATTTTAAAGTGAGATCTGAGTTATGAGTTGGCAGTCAAAAGGTCTGGGGTAAGAGTGTTCCAAGCAAAAGCATGCTAAGTGCCAGGGTCATAAGCAGGGTTCCAGCACGGTTTCAAAGTAGCAGGGCAAAAGAAAAGTCCTGGGTGACTGTTACAATTGCAGTGAATGAAAGAACATGGATGATTAGGTGGGAGAACAGAGCGGGGGCTGATCTTCTAAGACTTTATATACCATGTAGGTTGAAATAGGAAATCATTGATAACCCTAAACCAGAGGAAGATGAGAGATCTGGTTTATGCTTTGAATAGGGTTCAGCTCTGGAATGAGACAGACAATAAACATTGAGAACCATATGGTCTTTGCCTTAGCTGCAACTCTGCTTTTGTAGTGTGAAAGTCATGGACAATAAGGTAATGAATGAACATGATTTTCTACTAAAGCTTTGTTTATGGACACTGAAACTTGAACTTCATGTACAGTAACAAGGCCTAAAAGATTCTTCTTTCCATTTAAAAAAATGTATAAATCAATTTTAGCTTGTGGGACATAGTTTACCAAACCCTAAGGAGAGGATGGAGGATAATATTGTTACCCCTAAAGAAAAACT